ATCTCTCAGCTCCTCCCTCCATTCCTCTCTCCCTTCTCTTTCTAAGTTTCTTTTGAAAAGACAAAGCAACTGCATTTAAGTGGAACAAAGTATAGTGTAGTATTGGTAACACAGCTAATAAAATGCATGGATTTGACAGCCTTTATCTGGAGGTTTCCAAGATGGAAAAATTTTTAAAAACCCAATTTTCTTCAGCTTTATAGATGGAGCAGTTTGGCTTCTGGTATGAAAGGGGTTTTAATTTATGCATCGCATCTCAGTATCTATTACACCTACCTGATGTCTTCCTGGCCTCACTGGCCTTTTAGGAGGGAAATCAGCTTAGGAAAAAAGAAGATGGCTCCGCTGGGAGGCTCATCAGCACCTCACTCCAAGCTTCTGGGAACCGTGGGGGTCGCCTTGAGCAAGAGTGGAATCATAAAGCTCCATCAAAAGTAATAGATCTTTCCCCTCATAGTTTTACTCTCACCTCCTAACTCCACAGTGTGCTGTTTTAAAAAGTTTATTTTTAACAAAGATCTATATTGAAATCCAGGCTCGGTCCTTCATAAACGGTATGACTGGGTAAAATGAACTTAACCTCTCGGATCCTCTGATTTCTCCTCTACTAAATAGGCAACATATATCTGTCTTCTATGGTTATTTCCAACATTCTGATAGTAGAAACTCAAGTATATAAAAATATACATAGAAAAGAGACTGGAAAGAAAAGCAATAGAATGTTGACAATGGCTATTTCTTTTTCCTCTTTCTCTTCTGCACTTTTCAACTTTCTATTCAAATAAGCATTATCTTTCAATAAGACAATTATGATTTACAAATGCACATGTCACTGTTAGAGCTCACATAGATTATAATAACTATTGAATTTTATTTTCCTTTTCCTCTGCCCCATATCATCTACCCTACTCTCTCTTTTGAAAGGAAAGCATATTTGGGTGTATTAGTTTCCAATTGCTGCTGTAACAAATGACCGCAAACTTAATGGCTTAAAACAATGCAAATTTATTCTCTTACACTTCTGGAAAACAGAAGTCTGGAATAAGTCTTAGAGGGCTAAAATCAAGGTGTGGGTAGGGCTGGCTCTTTTGGAGGCTGTGAAGGGAGAATCAGTTTCTTGGCCTTCTTCAGCTACCAGTGGCTGCTGGTATTCCTTGCCTTGTGGACCTCTGCTCCATCTTCAAAGCACATCACTCTAGTTTCTGCTTCTCTCACCACATCATCTTCTCCCCTTGTAAGGACCTCTTAATTACATCAAACATATTCAGATAATCCAGCATAATCTCCCCATCTCAAGATCCTTATTCACATCTGCAAAGTCTTTTTCACCATCTAAGATAGCACATGGATACCTTTCAGTGGGGGTTCATCATCCAGCCTAACGCATGGAGCTTATTTATGTAAGAGTTGAAAGATTAAACAAAAACTGGGTAAGGAAAAAGAGCAACAAAGTTTCTGATAATGTGAAATAACAAATCAAGTACTTTATACAGAATATATGTTCAGTTCTTACAAGTGGTAACAGTACTGGACTGAGTACACTGGAAGAAAATATAAGGCATTTAGGTTTGCGTGTGAATGTAGAAACTGATGTATTCTATTAAAGAAAAAACAAAATCACACGCAACAATGGAAACTATCAAGTCTGTTCTCCCCAGATCTCTAATAGGCCAGAAATTCAGTCTAAAATTATTATTATTTCTTTGAAAGATCAGTTCTTATTGTTAAAAGTCACCAGAAAGACTCATGTCAGAGACTACTTGACTCAAAAGCAGCCTGTTTCCTCCAGGTTTGTAGTAATGTGTGCTAAGAATGACTTTTTTAAAAAAGCACAAAGATTCAAATTATTATTTTTTGTTGAAAAATGCCACAGGTTATAAAACTAACATC